AGAGAGATAGAGACAGAGAGAGAGAGCGAAAGAGAGACACACACAATTTATTTTATATTTATTTAAAACTTATTTCATATTTTTTGAGGTCCCTTCCATATCCTTACCCCATAAATCTTTATTTTAATTTTAATTTTGTTTCATTCATTTTTAACATTTTTTAGATCATTGATCAGACTAGTCTAGACAATTCGAATGCTAGATCCAACAATCTGATATGAATATGTGGGTGAATGATCTGCCACGCTAATCAAGGTTTTGAAATATTTATGAAAGGGGGTGGTTTGCATGAGGTTGCAACTTTAAACAATCCAATTAAGGTGCACCTCTAAATTTTATCATAAATGTAATTTTGATATAAAAAATTCTTCGGATGGCTTGATAATTTATTTTCATATCTAATTATAAACTTTTCAATTCTAAAAATGGTTCAAATCAAGTAGATCTAAAAACACATGAAAATCTTAAAAATAGACGGTTCAGATAATGTGTTGCATATTTCACGGACTCAAAATCTTTTTCCTTTTCATATTCATACATCTTGATGTGGAGATGATCAATTAGAGGGTTTTCCAACATCCATACAACCTTTTTGGATGGATTTTTTAGGTGCATCTTTTATTCGACATTTTAAGGTTGCCAAATTATATAAACTTTATCATTCACGAAATGGGGCCACCCATATGTACAGAATACGCAAGTTTATAAGTGGACAGACAGTTAGAGAAAATAACACAACAAAATGCCGGTCCTTAACCATTATTTCTATAGAGGTGAGGATTAAATGTCGTCAACTACTAGCAACCACCAGCTATTAAGACAGTCACACCAACGCACCTCTCCAAAATTAATTGTTTGCCAAATGTCCTTGCTATCTAAATATAAGTGCAAATAAGAGGTAGAGATGCCTTTAGAATGATGGTCTTAATGGAAATACAAATGTACAACTGATCTTAGGAAAAGATTTTGAGTTACTTTGAAAAAGAACAAACACTAATGGCTTCTTTAGATGTATTCGAAATCACAGATAGTTCATTAGTTCAAAAAATTAATCCTCATAACATATTATTTGTTGTTTAGTAATGTCTCTCACAAAATTATTTAAAATAAATTTATAGGCAATTTTATATATATTAATCTTTATGAACAGTTATTTTTAGTTTAATTAAAGTAATTTACTAAAAATCATATATATATATATATATCATCATAATCAATAAATAACTAAAAAAAGAAGCTGAAAACCAAAAGATAAGTGTTAAGATTCTTATTAAGATTCGTAAAAGCATGCATGCACAGATATTTAATGGGAAGGAGTGAAAAAAAGAGATAACACAATATTTACGTGATTCAGACCGAAGCCTTACACTTTAGGGATCCAAAATCCCACTAGTTATATCTTTACTGATCCAAAGCCCAATTGGTTACATCTTCATTGATCCAAAGCCCAACTAGTTACATCTTCATTGATTTTGGATAATGATCAACTAGTTACATCTTCACTGATATTGGATAAGGATATAAGGATTACATCAATAAGTGTCTCTATATATATATATAGTAGAATCACAATGAATTTTAGAGATATAGATAAATAACACCGACCATATCACTAATAACTAACGCGATGACCAAATAATTTAACTTTATCTCTTTTTATCTTCAATAATAAGGAAACCTAAAAACCCCTTACAAGGCCATTCCTATCCAATATCATCCCATTGCATACCAATGGCAAAATTCTTAAATTCCTCACTATACAAATTTTTAGAATTACGCCTGTAAAATTACACAACTGCCCACGAAACCCCCATAAATGCCCCCAACGAGCATTCCCCCACGTAACCCAATAAATGGAGAACTTTAGGTACAGAAAAAGAGAGATCGTACCTTGTGTTTATGCTTTAGGGCAAGCTTTATATGAGTACATGTAGAATCTACATGACGCCCCTCTTGAAATCTATTTTTGAGATGGATTTTTGGATTTAATTTTTAAAGACATCTTATCTTTAATATGAGGATAATGAATATGAATAAATAAATATATTTTTAAAATTAAAAATAATAATTATATTAAAAAAATATTTAATTTGTTAATTTCAATTGTTTTTAGATGGACCACATATTTACATCTATCTTTAATATGGATGTTTTATACGTCTGTACTGCATATGTAGAAATGCGGTCCAACCCGCATGAAACAATTTTCCTATGCTTTATATTTGCTAATTTGGTTAAAGAGAGATCTCATGCATGAATTTTATTTTATTGGGATTGTATACAGTGAGACCATTTACTTTTGATGCAAGGTGGTCACAATTCTTTATAACATTTTGATGTGAAATTTGATAGCTTGGATGTGTAATAAAATTTGAGAAAATTCCTTTTATAGTTTGAGTTTTATCAATATAATAATTGCAACAACCCAATTTCACATCCAAAGGTCAAAATTAATGCATTCATCTTGTATCAAAGATAAATGACCACATTCTATACTCTTTCTTATTTATTTTAAGTACCAACATTACACTGCTGCTAGAGTGTATTTTACGTTTACTCCCTGGGTTAGAAGATGTAGGTGGGAGGATTTTTTTTCAATTTGAAATTTTGGGAATTACATGCCTCAATATACGATTATTCTCGAAAGAATAAAAAGTGAAATTTGAGTTTTCTCTTAGATCATACTTTTTACAAATTGGATGGTACCTATTGAATCTTGAGACACTATTTTTCCAAAGTGCATAGAAGGTGCAATCATGAGATTTTTTTTTATCGAGGATAATGTACAAGTTGAAGGGGTTATATCTCAAAAATAATTTGGGTTGGTGAGGCTTTACCTAAGGACCGGTACCATTTATTGCTTCGTGGGTGCTCGAGATTTAGAGAGAGAGGGGATTACAGATCCCACGGTGCGTGCTGCTTGAAGAGTGAGGGAGAGAGGTAATGAGCTCCCATTTCAAAAAGTATATATTTGGTAAGGGAAGGAGATAAAAGGTAGGCCAACCATATGTATCGGCAGAGTTAGTAAGGTTGTAGAGAAAGTGCGTGTGTTTTTCCCAATTTGTGACGCCATTAACACACTGCACCAGCAAGCAGAAAAGGCCTGGAAAACCGGAAAGTTTCAGTGGAGGGAAGCATGGGGGACGAGGGCAAAACCCTCAAAAAGTTGGTGGTCTGCCCGCGGGCGAAACTAACCGTGATCCCCGCTGTCCCAGGGCAGCTTAGCAAGATACACCCCCTCTCTCTCCTCGACCACATGATGGGCGTACACAACCTGCGTATAGTCTTCTACTACAAGACGCCCCGCAATAAAGAGGAGGGGCTTCGACACGAGTCACTGAAGGAGGCGCTCTCTGAGACATTGTCGAGTTATCCAATTGTGACGGGGAGGTTGAAGGGAGGGAACGAGGAAGGTAGATGGGAGGTGCAGTGCAATGATGCCGGGGTTCGGGTTGTCGAGGCGAAGGTGGAGGGAACGGTCGAGGACTGGTTGGAGAGGGCGGAGGCGGCTGATGAAGAGGGGCTGACATACTGGGAGAAGATGCCTGAGGATCCTTGCTTCTGGTCGACCTTCTATGTTCAGGTGCTCTCTCTCTCTCTCTCTCTCTCTCTCTCCATACCTCAACATTCGTTTTTGAGGTGGCTGAAGAACCCGGAAAAAGATCCAAATCGATGCTTCTATTTCAAAGACACTCCTAACTTGTGCTGCCAGTGTTTTTCTTTTAAAAAAGGGGAAATTTATCAAATAAGAGATGAAACTATTTGATATTTTACATTCCAATTGATTTAATTTTCAAAACCCATCAAAATACACATGATTAATAGTTGAAAATGGATAAAAGCAATGGCTTAAAAAACGGATCGGTGACCCAGATCGGGCTTTAAAAAACCGCTCCGGATCGGCGAATCGGCGATCCGGATCGAGAATCGGGTAAATCGGTCATAATAAAGCTTAAAAAAAATCCAAAAAAATTATTAAAATTCATTATAAATATTGTTTTTTAGGAATTCAATAAGAAATGAGGGTAATCCATTAAGAATTTTCATGTTTTTAAATGAATATGCGAATATTGATATGTTCTTTCCCTGCATGAACCGCCATTCCGCATTTAATTTACATCACACAAATGGATGAACATATAATTATCATGGAATAAGTATATCAACATACATAGACTACAATAAAGCATAAAATTAGTAACATATGATCTAAAAATAAATGATAGACGACGTTATTGTTCTTCTTGGTCACGCTGGTGCCATTGATTGAATTCGTTTAACAATTCATTGATTCGATCTAAAAACGAATCTTCGATATTAGCAGGCGTCTGACTATTCCCAAATCCCTGAGTGTTAGTGTTTTGTTGTGTTCCCAATCTAAAATCCCCGAAGATTGTCCATCCTTTATGCTCACCTGCACTGTCGTGC